GCTGTCACCAGCCAGCTCACATCAGCAAGAAGCCATTCCAGTTTCCCAGCACACAGCCTGCTTGGGTGCCCTGTGCTGTAACAGTTCATTTGGCAATTTCACTGCTAATCATGGTTGGCCTAAATATGCATCCTCATTGACACTCCCAAACAACTGTATATAGAGATGGTAGTGGCCCTTACCCACATGTGGCCCAGAATGTTGACTTCAAACATCCTTTCTATCTGGTGGTCCTGAGTCGAGAGAAAGTCGGCAGCTGTAATCACACCAACATTGTTCACCAGGACAGTCACATCCCCAATATCCTTCTTCACCTTTTAGAGAGAAAACAAAAGCCCGAAATTGTGGCTGTCACTCAGGAGGGGAGAAAAAAAAAGTAAAGGTGTGGAAGATGAACCATAGTTAAATTCTTAACATTGCATCTTCAAGGGAGAGGGAGATCATGCCACATTTCCAGATGTGGCAAGAACTTTGCACAGTAGAGCAGTAGAGCCATGGGATCTGGTTTAGATCTGATTGTTCCCCATTCATTAATGTCAGTATTTATTGTGTTCCACAAACTGTGCACAGTTTGGACTGTGTAGTCACAATTGGTGTGGGAAATTGATTTGTAGAGAGTTCTCAGGGCCTGACAGAAGGTGCTCACAGTCTTCATCTGTATGCAAACCGAGACAAGAATTGCTGACTTAGAAATGCCTTGTAATAGGACAGGTATTGTTTAGAGAGAAATGGAGCTAGAAAAAAGCTTCAAAAGATGGCCTTGCAAATAAGACTAGATACTTTGGAGAAATGGAACTATGACTCCTGCATTGTATTGGGACCCACGAGGGGTAGTTTCAGATGACTGACTTTAAGGCATGTACAGCATGGCATGGCAGAAAGCTGATAGGTCAAGAAAGGCTTATAGTGTATTGTAATTAGGAAATAGTTGGCTTCTGATTGTGATGGTGTGAATTATAACATCTGTATTGTCTCACCCTTCTCATAAGGAAATAAAAATGGAATAAATTTTTAAAAATGCCTCTCAGTTGCCCCATCTGTGGGTCAGGAAAAGAGTATTGTCCAACACTTGGGACCACAGAGGTACAGACTGTTTTGAGGCAGCTGGAGCACAGCCATTCCAATAAAATGTTTCATATGTTCTCAGTGCTATGTTCCTTCAGAGGCTGCAACCCTAGAGTGCAAACTTGGCAAGAGGATGTGCTATGCTGGAGCCTCCCAAATAGGATGAGACTGGCTGTGATCTTGGAAATGCTACAGCTGTCTGTGTCCAGAGAGCAGCGAGGAACGGAGAGCTTCCAGAGGTTTGCAGGATTTGTGTGCAACATGAATTCTCTAGTTTTCCTGCCATACTCTGGAAATCAAGCATGGTTGGGAAAGCCTTTGGCCCTGCCCCTGCTGCCCTGTGGCAGCAGCTCTCTGGCCACAGACAGCAACAAATAACTTTTCCATGCCTTTCTGGGGATGACTGTGAGAAGATGAGAGAAAAGAATGAGAAACAATTCCTATCTTCACTTGCTGGACGTGGTATTGTGAACATGTGGAATGTGTTACTGAGATTTGTTTACCAAAGGGTGGTGCCTTAATTAGCCAGCAGTGATGGTGTTTGGATTGGAGTGTCATAGACATCTTTTATGAAAAATCCTTCCCTTAGGATTTTTCCTCCTGAGAAGCTGAGAGGCCTCAGGAACAAAATATAAACATTGATTATCTGCTTTTGTGGAATGCAACTGGTGGATCTTTGATTGGTCCATGTTGGTTGTTTCTAATTAATGGCCA